CTTCTCCTTCTCCTTCTCCTTCTCCTTCTCCTTCTCCTTCTCCTTCTCCTTCTCCTTCTCCTTCTCCTTCTCCCTCCCTCCTCCCTCCTCCCTCCTCCCTCCTCCCTCCTCCTTCCTCCTTCCTCCTTCCTCCTTCCTCCTTCCTCCTTCCTCCTCCTCTTCTCCTTTCTGCTTCTCCTCTCCCTCCACAGGCGAGAAGCCATTTGAGTGCAAACTCTGCCACCAGCGGTCCCGAGATTACTCCGCCATGATAAAACATCTCAGGACCCACAACGGAGCCTCGCCGTACCAGTGCACCATCTGCCTGGAATACTGCCCCAGCCTTTCCGCCATGCAGAAGCACATGAAAGGCCACAAGCCGGAGGAGATTCCAGCAGACTGGAGGATAGAGAAGACCTATCTCTACCTGTGCTATGTCTGAAGGGACAAGTGGAGAAAAGAAGCTGGAAGGGACTAGACAGAATCAACCCCTGGATTGCTCCCTTTCCTTCTCTTTTTCTCTCCCAATTTTCTTTCTTTTTGCTTTCAGTTCTATTCATCCAGGATTTGCTGACCCATTTCTTTTCCAGCTTCCATTGTCCTTAAGGTTGCAAGGAGTGAGTGGGGCAGGGAGATATGAGAGGGAGGGGAGAAACCCCATTGAGCTCCCTGAAAGGATCCCCCGAAAGCATGTCCTGTCCAACCTATCTCCAGCCCTGGCCAGCTGTGAAGTTGTCTTGCATGGTGGCCATGTCCCCCTGTGTGCCTCGTGGCTCTGGGCTTCGTCTGGCCCTTGGTGCTCCATGGGGGGGATGGCCAATTTCTCTCTGTCATGGTGTAAGCTGAGATCCAATCAACCCCCTGCATTGCTGCCTTGGTTTCCCAAGGATCCTTGGGAATTATAGTGTCATGAGGATTCTCTCTTGGGTTCCTTTTGTTTCGCTCCAATGCCAATCCCTAACATATCCACAGTTCCCTTGGAAGTGACAAGTTCCCAAGCAGGATGCAGTTTTCTGCACGTGCATCCTGCAAATTCCCCAAATTTTCACCCTCTTGTCCTCACTGGTTCCTTTGACTTAGCTGCCAAATCCAAGCACATCTTTGGGAGAGATGGAACATTTGGAGAGCAGGACATCCATGAAGTTCTGTGGTGCCACAGAGGGTGGTGGAGGGAAGGTATCAGGTGCCTCGGAGCATCCTAGATCCCACCTGGCAGCTGCTTGAGGAGATGAAGGAAGTGTAGAGCGTGTCCTGGGGTTCTGAGGGCTTTCTGCTACGAAAGAGCAGTAGAATTCATGTGCACCCACAGCGCCAAACCTTTTCTCATAGATTCTGCTGACCACGTTTTGGCCTTTGCAGCTCAAATGTTGGGGGTTGCTGCCTCAAAGAGCGTGACCCTGGATGCCCTCAGAATTTGCCTCCAGATATTCCCTGTGAGCTGCGACCCTTTCTTCTGACCAAAGACCATTCTATGCATTTATTTTTATTTATTTATTTTTGAAGCAAGAGGGGAGAGGGATGCGGAGGAGAGGCAGCGCACATTTGCACATTTGCTACCATGAATGGCCAGCCTTTTCTGAGCAGGGGAGAAATCAAAATGACAAGGCTTAGGGGAAACCCAGCAGCTGCTAGAGAAGCCCTGATCTCACCCTCTGAGGCTTTGGGGAGCTCTGCGAAGCTCCCTGTTCTCAAGCACTTCCCCACTGACTTCTGTGGGGGGGAAAGGGCTGCTTCCTTCTAGTCAACAGCCTCTGCCCAACTCCCTCCTCTGTTTAGCTGCAAGAGAAAGTCCATGGAAGTCTCAGCTCGCTCACGTGAAGCTGGAGAGGATCTGGGCATGGATGGATGGATGGATGGATGGATGGATGGATGGATGGATGGATGGATGGATGGATGGATGGATAC